TATTTCTGACTTTAAGAATTCTGACAACTTTTAGCTTGCTAAGCTAAAGTTTAGCTGTCAAAGACAACTTTTAGACATCTAGAAATAAAGCAGATTATATGAAAATTGTTATGCAGTCTAAAATTTTGTTAATTTTACTCTGTAGAATTTTGTTATATCTAGATTTCTATATATGAATTATAGATTAGCTGCAATTTTCCCTAAAAATGCTTTTATTACATTTTTTTTTTTTAGCTTTGAGGAGGTTCACCTCTACTTAACAAATTCCTAGAGTGGTTGACATATATAATTTTATCCACCCTTTTACTTTTACACTTTCTATCACTGATAAATTAACAATATCTATGTGATAATTAACCATTGGGAGACTAATCTACTAACAAGCAAATATTAAGTACTTACTTCGTACCAAGAACTCTACCTCTACAAGAGCTATGCAGGCAGACTAGTCCCTGCCCTCAAGGAACCAACGTTCTTTTGAGCTAAACAATACATACACATATGAGTAAATACAAAACAAAGACAAAGTAAATTTAAGTTGTATAATTGGGGGGAATCAAGAGGGGCTTCTTGAAGGAAGTGGTCAGTGAACTGAATTTTGAAGGACACTAGGGATCCTGAGAATTAGAAGTGAGGAAGAAGTGGAATGCATTGAAGGCATGAGGGAGAGCCAGGGCAAAGCTGTTGAGGCAGGAGATGGAGTATTTTGTTTGCAGAACATCAAGGAAGCCAGATTGGTTGAACCATAGAATGGGTGAAGGGAGTAACATGTAATAAACCTGGAAAAATAGGCTGGAGCCAGATTATGACAAGGAGTTTGTATTTGGCCCTTGAGCCAGTAGGAAACCATTTGAGCTTTTTGAGTAGGGGAGTGATATGGTCAAACCTCTACTTTAGTAGTATCAATTGTGTGGAAGTTGGATTAGAGTGGGGAGAGACTTGAAGCAGAGGCATCAGTTAGGAAGTAGGACCAGACCTAGGGTGGTGGCCACGTGAATGGAGAGAAGGGAACCAGTGCCCGAGGTTGTGTGAAGGTAAAACAGATAGAACCTGGCAACTACTGATATGTGTGGTGGTGAGGTTGTTAGAGAAGTCAAAGATGATTCTGACGTGGTAAATCTTGGTGACTAGAAGGATAATGGTACTCCTGACAGAAATAAGAATGGTCAGAAGGATGACTTTAGAGAAGAAAGAGTTCTGTTTTAGACTGGTTGAATTTGAAATACCTAAGGCCATCAGGATTTAAATGTTTTGTAGGCACTTGGTAATGTATGCCTGCATCTCAGGGATAAGACTAAATAAGGATAAGGATAAGGCTGCATGTATGCTTCTAGGAGTCATCTGCATAGAGATGATAATTAAACCCCTGGGAACTGATGGTGTTACCAAATGAGAAAAGGGAGGGAGAAGAGAAAAGGGCCTTGAACAGAACTTTGAAGTTCACCCACAGTTGGGTGGCAGGACAAAGATGAGGATCCACCAAGGAGACTGGAAAGGAGTGGCTGGGCAGGTTAGAGGAATAGCAATGTCATGAAAATTCAGAGTCCGTATCCAGTAGAAGAGGGTGATCAGTGGAGTCAAATGCTGCAGAAAGATCAGGAAGGATGAGGACTGAAAAAGTCCTGTTGAATTTGGCATTGTTAGAGATATGATAAGAGTAGTTTCAGTTGATTGATGAGGTTGGAGTCAAACTACTTGGGACTGATAAATGAATGTGAGAAATTGGAGACCTAGAATAGGGATGAACAATTTTACAGAGATTAGATCAAGTTCATTAAAGACAGTATTAATTGTAGGTTAATGGAAAAAGCACTAGATTTGGAGTCAGGACACTGGATTGGAATCCTGCTTGTGACATGTGTAATCTTGGCTAAGTTACTTAGTCTCTTTATGCCTTAGTTTCCTCCTGTATAAAAATTAGGGGCCTTGGATTAGATGATCTCCAAGGGCTCCCAACTTTAAAATCCTATGATCCTATCCTAAATACAAACAGTAGATATACTAATGACAAGAAATATGCAGATACGTAGATTGATAAAAACCTACAAAATTCCATAAAACTTGAGGAAGTCAGACCCTCTACTAATTCACAATTTATGAGAATTCAGACTTTTTATTGTCTTTATACTACATGTGAAAAAATGAGTTTGCTAAGAATATTAAGCATTTTCTCTGAAATTTCCTTAGTTTTCAAATGTTTATTAACATAACATATTAACATAACATCATTCTTATCTATTCATTAAAGAAGTTTTCTTAAATAGCTATCTTAATTGTTACCCAATTGTTGGTAATTCTGTGCTTGAAAGAAAAACAGAAAATTACCATTCCTTTAAAATTTATTTAAAAAATTAAAGATTAAGATTCTATAGTAAAAAAAAAAATTCATTAATTCATATTTGCTTTTCTTAGTTGATTTAGCAGAAGGATTTTTCTTTAGGATCCAAAGATTATGTAGTGTTTTACTACTGGAAGGAACCTTAAAGATCACCATCTCATTTTATAGATGAGAAAAGTAAGGCCCAGAAAGGTTGTGAATTGCCCAAGATTACGCCACTAGTTGGTGGTGGAATGATTCACAGTCAAGTGCTCTTTCCTCTACAGTGTCTAAACAGCAAAAATGATCAAAATGAGAAGAAACAGGTCCTATCAGGAAAGGTTAAAGAAATTAGGATTATTTAGCCTAAAGAAGAGAAGACTAAAGGGTGAGTGACATTGTTATAATCTTCAAGTATGTGAGGGATCTGTGTGAAGATGATATATGCCTTTGTACTCTCTGCTCACAAAAGAGGTAGCATGGTGCAGTGGAAGGAGCATTAGACTCTAAAGTGACCTGGGTTCTAATCCCAGCTCTGTCATCATCTTGTTGTGTGCCCATGAGCAAGTCACTTCACTTGTGTCTATGGTCCTATTTCATCTATAAAATGAGAAGTCTTGACTAGATGATGTCTGATATCCCTTGCAGATCTAAGGGTCTATAATTTTGTGATTCCAAATGTGATTAAAGCAGGAGAGATTTTGGTGGCACATATGGTAGAATTCCTTCATTTTCAGGTTGATGAAACACTGGGATAGGCCTTAGAGGAAATTGATAGAGTCATCCTCCCTACACACCTTCTGGAAGAGAATATACAGTATTCTGTCTTGATTATTTAGACATTAGCCTGCTTGAACACAAGTAGACTAGACCAGAGATGTCAAATATGTAGTCCACTACACTCCCAAGTGTTGCTGTAACCAAAATAAATTGTTAATTGGGATATATTTAGCAAAATAAATTAAAATATAATAAAGTAATGATAATGTTAATGTGTTTTTCTGAGGCAATGTCATTTATTTCATCTTTCAGTAAAACAAAAGTTTAATTATATCATCTGTAAAGTTGCTTCCAGTTCTAAAATTTAACAACAGGTTTGAGTTACTCGTGAGGTAGGGATGAAATAAAGGTAGAGAAGTTCATGGGTGCCACTTAAAGAGAATTAGTAAGAGGAATGGGCTGCCAGTCATAAATACCAATAGACCATAATCTTAGATGTGTTTAAGGAATTTCTTGGAGGACTTAAACATTTTGAATGTTTTTTCGTAAATTAGAATTTGGCATATTGATTACATTTCGGTTATTCCTAAATGTTGATGAGATAGCTAATATGTTTTTTATGATAAATTTCACCAAAGAAGAAAATAGTCTTTTACTTTTGTTCTTTTATTTTTTTACATTTAATAATCTTATTTTTTCTCAATTACATGTAAATGAAAATATTTAACATTCATTTTTTAAAATTTGGAGTTCCAAATTCTTTCCCTCCCTCTTTGCCTTCTCCCCTCCTTGAGAAGGCAAGCAGTTTAATGTAGGTTATACATATACAGTCATTTTTGCCTTTGTTATTAGTGATTTATTTTTCAATAGTACTTAATTTAGCATTTTATTTTTGCCCAGTTACATGTAAAAACAATTTTTGATGTTCTTTTTTAAAATTTTGAATTCTAAATTCTCTCCCTTCCTCCCTCCCCACCCCCATTGAGAAGGCAAGCAATTTGATATAGATTATATATGTGTAGTCATACTAAACATATTGATAATAGTCATGTTGTGAAAGAAAACATAGACAAAAATAACTCAAGAAAAATAAAGAAAATTTTAAAAAAGTATGCTTTAGTCTGTCTCCAGAAACCGTCAGTTCTTTCTCTGGGAATGGATGGCATTTTTCATCATAAGTCCTTCTGAGTTGCTTTGGATTGTTGTATTGCTGAGAATAGCTAAGTTGACAGCTGATCATCTTACAATATTGCTGTTACTTTGTGCACAATACATTTCACTTTGCATCAGCTCATGCATCAGGTTTTTCTGAGAGCATACTCTTCATAATTTCTTATATACAATAGTATTCCATCATAAATTTTGCTTTGTTCTTAAGGCCGGTTTTAAAAACCAAAACAGAGATCTAGTACAATCTAGATAAACTCATACATGGCACCTGTAATCCTGCAAAATGCTCGCTAAAAATCATGGTTTTGTCTTGTAGTTTTGTTAGCATTTCTTCTTGCTGTCATAGCCTTCAAGAAAAAAAAATTATTTGGCACGTATCAGTACTGCTTTTGGATAGTTAACATAGCTTTTGTGGTAAGGTCAGGGAGTCAAGATAAAAACAACATGAAATAACAAAATTAGATTCTAGTTACATCTGTGGTTCAGAATGTGGATAGCAGTGAAATAGGAACTTTTGTGAT